GTGTTCGTTAATCTTTTTTTTTTTTTTTTTTTTATTTTTTTTTTTTTTTTTACTTAACACAACTTACAGTGCTTACACTACTTACAACACCGTACTCATTACTTTTTTTACATAGAAAGAAGAAAAGAAAGTTACAATTACAATTATTGACGACTAATAACTTAAACTAAAGTGATTACTAACATAATTTACAATACTAACACTATAAACACAGTGGCAACAGAAAAGTATAAGAGGATTATATATAGATTAAGTATAAGTGTTTTTCTTTTTTATTTAGAAGGATAAGTAAAGAGAACTGAACGGCCTAGACTGTAATAATAATAATACTAATAATAATAAAAGCGTTACGCGGTGCACAATATCGCCCATTTTTTTTATAAAAGTCACTTAAAGTTCTATTTTTGGTACAAATATATTTTTCTGTTTCGAATTTAATATTAATCCTTAACTTAAACCCTGCAATAATTGGACGAGTTTGTGATCTTCTGCAATCCCATATATATAGTTTGGCTATTAGTAGAAAGTAGTTCAGTAAAGGGCATTGTACGGCTATTATACCTAATAGCACATCCTGTAGACTAAGGTTGATCAATTCATTTGACAACGAGTAATAATATAATTCAAAATCCTTCCAGAAAAGTTTTGCATATACACAGTCAAAAAGAAGGTGGATAAGGGTTTCCGGTTTATACATACAAAAGGAGCATTTATCATCGGTAATATATCCTATTTTATATAACTTAGTGTTAGTATATAATATGGAGTTAAGGACCTTGTACTGAAAGGCCTTAACATAGAATTCAGAACATATGATGTGCGGTAAAAGAAATGCTTTTTCTAGCTGATCTTCCGTCAGATTAAAATCCCGTTTTAAAGCTGAGGTATTTTTTAGAAAGCTGTGCCTTTTTACTTATGAGCAATGAATAATAATCTTTTGATTTCTTCTTTAAAATATCAAAGTCGTTATTCTTAATTATCACGGAAGGTGGCATTGTTAAAAAGGTGTGATCAGATGTTCTAGGATTAGCTTTTAAGTGGGACGGTACAGCATATCTGAGACCTGCCCATACTAAGAAATTGGTTTTTCAATCTTTCTTATAATGATACTATGTGACTCTGCAATACTTAAATCAAATCGAAGATCGGAAACCAGAAGAAAACCATTGTCGAAAAATGTTTTGTAAAAATTGGCTTATTATTTATCCTAATGTCTTTATTATTCCAAATAATATTATACCGCATTTTATCTGTAGAAAAGTCATCACGAAAATCAGCCCACCATTGAAGCAGCTCGGAGTAAAAAGGTGATTTGATTAGAACGTCTTTTACATCGTAGTTACAATGAAATAGAAAGAGGCCCCCGAAACTTTTAAGTTGATAACGCAAGTAATTCTTCCATGTGCTGTCGTTTTCGCTGAAGATTCTCTTTAGCCAGGCAAGTCTTAAAGATTTGACCATCGTTTCTAGGTCAATCATTTTCAAGCCACTTTTTGGTAGTCATTTATTGTTGACAAACGTGTGACCTTGTCAACACCTCTCCATAGGAATTTAAATATCAATCTGTTCAATTCTTGAACCGCCCACTTTGGAATTGTTAATAATGATGCCACGTAAACAAATTTTGGAACAATCAACGATTTGATAACAGTAACCTTTCCATAAAGGGAAAGACCTCGCATGAGACCATATGTGTACCAATTTTTTCACGCTGTCTAGTCTTTCTATAAAATTTTTCTCGTGTAGTAATTTTTGATCATAGGTGTAATAGACTCCGAGAGCTTTAATTGGTTCATTTGGCCATTTAATACCAAAAGGTTTTGATTTATTTTCCTTTAATGATCCGATCCACATTGCTTCAGTTTTTGAGGGATTAACGGCTAAACCTGAAATCCTCTTAAAATCGTCTAACAACCTGAAAAGGGTTTGGGCTGAGTCGATGTCTGACAGAACCACAGTTGTGTCATCTGCGTATTGAAGTAATTTTGTTTCCTTCTTGTCAATAGTAATACCTTTTATCATTGGATTTTGTCTTATTGCGATAGCCAAGGTTTCAACAGCTACTACAAAGAGATAAGGAGAAAGAGGATCACCTTGCCTAACTCCTCGTTCGACTGTAAAGTAATCAGAGATTATGCCATTGTTGATAACACAGCTTTGTATATTTTTGTAAAAAGAAGAAACCCATCTAATAAAGCTCTGGCCAAAATTAAAAGATTCTAGACAACTTTGTAAAAAGCTGCGTTCTAAACTATCGAAAGCCTTCTGAAAATCGATAAAGATCAACAAACCAGGAATGTTTTCTTCAACAGTGAAGTTCATTATGTCAAAAATCGATCGTACTGTTTCGCCGATATAGCGGTCTTTTATAAATCCAGTTTGATTGTAATGGATGATGCTTGGTAGAACATTTTGTATTCTAGCAGCTATAACTTTAGCCATAATTTTCGCATCCACATTTACCAAAGATATCGGCCTCCAGTTTTCCAGAAAGGATCGATCTTTTCCTTTCTTTTCGATGAGCGTAATTACTGCTTGCTTTTTGAGAGCGCGACATTTCACCTTTTCGAAGCATTCGTTAGCACAGAGAATGAAAGGCTCACAAAGTAAAGGCCAAAATTTTTTATAGAATTCGATGGGAATTCCATCGTTCCCTGGAGTTTTATTGTTTTGGAAACTATCCAAGATAAGTGCGCATTCTTCTGGAGTAATTTCACCTTCACAAGACATTTTTGTTCTTCTGACAGTTTAGGAATGTTTAAATCTTTTTAAAAAGGATTTAATTTCGTGCAAATTTTCATTATTCATGTTCTTACTCGAGTACAATTCTTGATAAAAACGTTGTTGTTCGGACAAGATCTTTTGACGGATCCGTGGTAGACGAGCCGTTGATATTTAATTTTCTCATATGTTTTTTTGACATGATTTCTTTTTCTAGGTTTAAAAAGTATTTGGTGCTTTTTTTCGCCATGCTCGTGCCAGCGGGCTCGCGCTCGAATAATTATTCCTTTAACCTTTTCTTCATAAAACAATTCGAGCATATCTTTAGCACAGTTAAGAAGATTTGCATTCAAAATACTAGGATCTGTTTCGAAAGCACACTTTGCATTAGCGAGTTGTTCTTGGAGTTCCTTTTCTCTTTCACTTCTTTCTCGAGCTTTTCTTTTGGAATACTGTATAGTGTGCGCTCTTATGTTGTATTTTAACCAGTCCCAAATACTTCGACAGTTCGAAAGGTCCTTACGACCTTCAGCTAACCAGATAGGTATCCTCTCCGTGATGCCATTAACGTAGTCTTCATCATCTAAAAGGGAGCAATTCATTTTCCAGATACCTGGACCTTTGGTGTCATCAGATTTGTATACAAGTTCAAGAGTAATAGCTGCATGGTCTGTTCTAATTGCGGGATTATATCTGCTGCTTTAACTAGATCATGTAAAGAATTTGAGATCAGCCAATAGTCTAAACGACAAAAGATCGTAGGCAAATTTTGACTCCATGTAAAGCTCTTTTTTCTGAGGATTCTTAACTCTCCATATATCGACGAGATCAAACTCTTCTAGTAGGTTGCTAATGGTTGATACAACAGATTTTCTTGGACTCAATTGGCCTCCTTTCTTATCCATAAGTGGATTAAGAGGGCAGTTGAAATCCCCTCCCATAATAATGTTTTCTTCTTCATCAAAATTATTATTTCGCAAAATCAGAAGTAGATTGTTGAAAAAGCTCACAATATTCGAATCTTTATTCGGAGCGTAGATGTTGATTAGAACATACATTTTGTCATTAAATTCTGCTTTTATTATAACATATTGTCCTTTAGGGGTCCAACACTTTTGAGTGAATTGTGCAATCAACATCCTTTTTAACAAGAATTGCCACCCGCGTGAATTGGAGGTCCGTGGGCCATAATAATGTCACTCCCCATTCATTTCTCCAACACGTCTCTGAGTCCATTTTTGAGTGGGTTTCTTGTAAGAAGATGAAATCTGCTTTTTGCTTTCGACACCAAGTAAATATCGTTCTCCTTTTCTTAAAATTTCCAATGCCCCTTACATTTAAGGAAACTAATTTGCACGCCAGCTATTACATTTCAGTAGTAGTAAAATACCAGTAAAACTGTGATTGCAGCAGAAAACATGAGATATGATTAAAGAGCGCTCCGCTTGGTTTTTGCAATATTTAGATAAGAATAGACCGTTCCTCAAATTAGAGGAAATTAACGCGAAAAAAATTTCATCAGTACATATATATTAGAATAATAGATTCTATTGCCTTTTACGTACACTACACAAAAATGGAACAAGAGGGAAAAACACGATATTACACCTACCTCGTGTTCCAGATTAATATCCATCTACTAACAACCTAGATCCTACACAGAAGAAAGCTCCTCCGCCAAAAAAAAAAAAAAAAAAAAAAAACATATAATCAAAATAAAAGGTGTCCATGGAGCAAAAATCTAACAAAAGGATGATGATCTTATCTGATGTTGTTTTGATACAAAAGAGCGAATAATTAAAAATCATACATAATATTGAGAAGAAAAGAAACTTATAACTTCGCCAGAAAATATTGTAATCGCCGTTCGGCAAACTAATGAATAAAGCTCAAACTCAAAGGATTCTTTTAGAGTCAGAATTTAATATATTTACCATCGATGTAAAGTTTGTCTGGTTCAGACTTGCTAAAGTTGGCCCGTCTACCTTCTTTTCTTGCCTGTTTTAATTTCTCCATCTGCGCTTTCCTCAGTTGATGTAGTTCCTTTGGAATGTCCTCAAACATTTTGAAGTTTGTGCCCTTTAGCTTTCGCCCTTGTTTGAAGACACGCTCCTTGTCTGAAAATCGTAGAAACCGAGCGATAATCGTGCGGCCGTCGTTACCAGTATCATCTTTTGGCTTGCCTAGCCTGTGGACCCTCTGGAATTCAATATGTTCGGCGTTCTCAACTCCAAGCGTATTTTTTATAAAGTTCACAAGAACGCCTTTGGTATCTTCGTTTGCAGTTTTCCCTTCTTCAGCGTTTTGGGAAACTTCTGGAATTCCTTCGAATTTTAGATTTTCGCGTCGGCTATAGGCCTCTAAATACAGGATTTTCTTTCGGCATTCACCTAGTTCCTTCTTACGCTCGTCGAGAGTTGATTGAAGTCGGTCGAGTTCGCTGTCGACAAATTGGGAGTTGGTTTCCATATGTGTAAATTTTCCTTCGAGCTTTTCCTGTTTATCTTTGACTGATATGACATCTACTTCCACGGAAGTAATCTTGCTTTGCAGCTTTTTAACAGTTAAGCTTATATCTTCCATCTTTAAATCCATGCTATCCAGTCTTGCGATTATAAGGTCTAGTTTTCCCTCGACGCCTTCCACAGGAGTTTTGGCGGCCATTGTTTTCTCGGCGTCGCTTGAAAGTGTCACGTCCGGAGATGAGGCCTCTTTAGCTCGTTTTTCTTCAGGTGACGCTTCAGTTGAGCTACAGGATGAGTTTCTGCTGTATTTTCTCTTAGGAGTAACAAAAACAGAGGAAACCTCCATAAACACCGTAGTAAGAAAAGTGGCCGACGGAGCTTCCGAAAATGCGTCTTCACTCCATGTTGCTCTCCCCAGACCGTGTTCGTTAATCTTGACCTTGGCGTAGATCTTGTCTTTCGGTGCCTGTCAAGGGCGTTAAGTGAAATTTCTTGGGTTTGTTGGCCCTTGGTTAAAATGAGAGTTCCAAGGAATACAGTAATGGGTTCTGTGACGCTAGTTTCTTCTGAGCTTTCTTCAGGAGCATACGTATAATCATCTGCAAAGGGGTACATCTTCTAGGTGGATGTCTTGCCCCTGATACTCTGGGCTACTGACGATCTGATGAACCTCTTAGAGGAGTTGTTGCATGCACACTCTTGCATTGCCGCAGTACTTGCATTTTGAATTTTTTGCAGGCCAACTTGCTGATTTGTCCTGGCAGCCTTTTGGTCTGAACTGGAATGGGCAAGGTTTTCTGCCAGTAGCAGTAGGGAGTTAAGTGTGTGGAGGTGTTTTTAATTGAATGTGCGGATTCTCTTTCTCTTCACCTTTGGAAATTATTTTCACATGTACTTTAGTTCTTTCCTCGACTTTCGCCAGGTCGTAGACTTGTTTGAAGGTTAGCTCGTTGCCAAGTGCTATCACATCTTTGCATACTTCATCAGATGCCACGGCAAATACAAGTGTATCTCAGAGGGTACTTTCTTTAGCGGCGGGATCATATCCACCATCTTCTGTTAATAATTGCGCTTCGGTTACTTATTCCTCAAGTGCTCTATCTCCCTGCTCTAGGCATCGGAGTTGGTATCTAACAAGGATTTGATTACTTTGGGGCTTTGTATAAGTTTCAAGCGCCGCCATAACTGGATCGATTTTGAGGTTGTCACCATCGCTGGCCCATGTGGTCGTATTATAGATTTCAAGGCCTTTATCGTCAATCCACAACAGCAGCAATGTTACTTTTTTCGCCTCTTCGACTTTGTCGAGTGGTCATTCGAAAATAAGTTCGCCATTCTGTTGGAAGAGTTTGAAACGCTTGTGAATGTCCCCTGGAGTGGTCCAACCCATAGACGGTGGTTTGAATCGATCTGTCATGTTGCTTGTGAATGCTCGAAGTAGTTGAATTTTATGAGTTTCTCTACTACTGCTGGTAGCGATGTGTGTTCTAATGCGTTTTAAAATGTTTCACCTGGAGGATCCAGTATCTTCTCAGGATCCCACTTCTGACACCATGTGATAGATTGAACTCTTTTTTTTTTTAATCACTGCAAAATGCCTTCCACTCAAGATTACATCCTGCACGAAGCATGCATGCCCATATATGGTGTGTCACCCTAGACGTACCATGACAATAATAATAAATAGAGTTTTATAAGGAGCATTTACAAAGCTCAATGCGCCTTACAATGATTTGCAAACAGAAGATAAAATCAAAATCCCTATCTAATTGAGTTCACCATAATGTTTACTAAAATAAAAAAGCCTTCAAATTGTTTTTAAAACAGATAACAGCCTTGGCATTCTTAATGTCCTCTGGTATCCACAATTTCGGTGCCAAAAAAGGAAAAGCTCTACACCCGTAGTTTTCAGTTTTTGCTTTTTGAGGACAGAATAGTGAACATGACACAGATCTCAAAGTTTGCGACGGTTGATACATTTCAATTAAAGGCTTCAGGTAGTCTGCAGTCTGGCCATATATAGTCTTATATGTTATGAGGAAATTCTTAAATTCAATCCTCTCTTCAACTGGAAGCCAATGCAAGTTCTTTAGTATAGGCCTTACATGATCTGAACGTTTTAGGCTCATCACAAGATGCGTTGTAGTATTCTGGATTAGTTGGAGCTTATCCCTTTGATATTTAGGAATACTGTACAAAAGATAATTACAATGGTCCAATCACACGGTGAAAGAAATGGCGGACAATCACCCTTTATCTTAAAATGTGGCACCTACTCACATATTAATGCCACAACTATCAAGTCATCATGACCTATTAAAACCTGATACTTTTCTTTATGACATAGATCAACTACAATTTATACTTTTATTGCTTTAGCAGAACCGGTATGGTTGAGCCGACAGTCACGAAGTTCAGGTTAAACTCCTCTTTTTTCTGCTTCAAAGTGTTTTCTGCAGTATGTATTTTTTTGTCTCATTATCGAGGCATTTCCCTGTTTCCAATCCCACCAGGGTGCCATGACCTGTCCTTGAGTAATGAGCACGCCCTTGCTTTATCCACCATGCATCGAACGGACCTTTCATCTCCTCTAAGTTTTTCTTCTCCCCATTTTGCTCAGCTTTCTTTCACTGTTTCGTCGATGAACATTCGCACATCTCTTTCAGTTCATTTCATAGCTAGTGTTCTCCGACACTGGTTTTATATTCATTGTCCTTGCTCAGGACATGCAGGTACACAGGATCTCGCTGAGGTTAGTCTGGAATGTACGAAACATCAAGTGGCCCCAATCACATTTCCATGTAGTCCATGGGCCAGGACCCCCAAAATACCTGTTCAGTACCACTCGTGGGGAGTAATGCTATCATACATTTTTGAAAACTACACTTCCTCCAGTTGTATATTATGCATGATAGCAGTAATGAGCGAGTAGCTTAACAGGATTATCACGTGATAAGATGACGTCACTCAGTTCCACAGGATCGATATGAATCAGACAATGATTCTCGAACCTCTAATATTAACCTTACGAAAAGTGTATTTAACATGTGAAAATGATTGCGATTTCTACCAGATGAGCTTTTAAAGCAGTAAGTTTACAGTCTGATCTGACTGTTGATAATAGTTTCTATGGCAACAGAAAATAACCAATTTGAGCCAAAAAAATAGGAATGAATTTGTGAATGTGTTGATTTCGCAGAATGTACTTCAAATGGAGACGAGATGATTCACCATTGCATGAAGCAATGATTTGATTAGCTAGCATAGCTATCACGACAGAGAGTGTAAGTGGCCATCTTAGATCCACCATCATGATTATAAAGACGTGATAAGTTGGAAGCAAAATTTGGTGAAAGAACTTGAAAACTGTAAGAATTGTCAGTTCTGATTCAAAACACATCTGAAAAATATATATATTATAAATATGTTATATAAGTATTTTAAAACTTGGACTAGGTCAAGATAGATTACTTTTATGCGAACAACTCTTCGTTATGAGATATCATATATAACTTTTCGTGAAGGACTTATGGTTTCACAATTTTCTCAACTGCAATATGTTCTAGTATTGAATAAGAATTCCTTTTTCATAGTATGCTAATCTTCCTCATCCACTTCGTCGTCAGAACATTCATTATCAGGTAATTCCTCCTCTTCAACACGATTGTTGCAGTCATAAAGCCGGCACATGTCAAGGCCATTTGTAAGCCGCGCACAGGTGGGTAGCTTGCATGATCTTGCACAGTAACAGGAGAGAAACTAAAGGAGAGCTGCAGGAGCTGGTTCACTACTCATCTATTTGATGGATAACTTGTCCTCTTGAAACCATATGCAGAGCAGACTTCTCCATGCTTCAACAATCAGCACAGGGAGGTAGCTGGTTGGAGTCAATTTTGTCTTGTTTTGCACAGAATAACCTACAAATATACGAGTTTAAAGGTGTTGAAGAATTCATAATAATTGGGGACGAGTTACTGAGATAACAATAATGATAACAATGATAATGAGAATGACAACAATGATAATGATAGTAATTGGGACCTTAAGCATCAATGACAAAATGGGATGACGATTCTGACCGGAAGTGAAATTTTGCAAAGACGAACCTTCTGGGCATGCATTTGGTTGTCAAAACATTGTCCAGCCTTCGTTGACGACTGAATCTGAGCAAGGTTTTGCTCTGGTGAAAACGTAGGTAAACAACTAAACTTTTAATCTAATAATCATCTATTTCCACCTTTTAATGATTGTTTGATGTTCTATTTGTGGACCAGCGGAAGTCAAATGTTTAACGGTTTAGCAATTTTTAACTGACTAAAATGAAACCGAAACCATGGCTGGCCATATTTCTGCAGCCGAGCAAGGACCAGTTCAAAAGTAAGTTTTTCTGTATCTCTGTAGGGAGAATTTTGGGATATTTGAAGTCATGTTCTTCTTATTTTAGACCTGCATGTCATTGTGCTAATTTTAAGTTGCACTTCAAGATATAAATCTTCAGTTTTGGTACTAAAAATATATATTTTCGTGTTTTTTTTGACAGCAAGTAAATCCAGGTACCGTATTTATTCGATTAACCGCCCTGGGCGCTTATTAAATTTTTGGACCTTGAGAGTGGGCGCTTATTCGAGGCTGGGCGCTCATTAAATTTTCACCATTTTCAGTAAGTAAAGTATGTTTATTTCGTAACAAAACAATAAATGCTAATAACAAAACACGAGGAATTAAGAAAGCAAAGTTTCTGTAAAATACTCTGAAGAAAACTCCGTCCTTGGGAAAGTCTCTTATTAAAATTTATTCACTAAAGTGGGTGGGGTGGGGGTGAGCGCTTATTTGAGCTTGATTGGGAGGAGGAGGGGGTGGGTGCTTATTCGAGGCTGGACGCTTATTAACTTTTTCTGCTTTAGGATGGGCGCTTATTCGAGGTGGGTGCTAATTCGAGGTTGGGAGCTTAATCGAATAAATACGGTATTTTGTTTGGATGCAAGACCATGATGTCTTGATGCTTCGCGAAGCTGTAACGACCGAACCTTACAATTTTAAAGCAAAAAGCAGCAAGAGAGGGAAAGTATGGGAAAGCATCGCAGCCTATTTGAATTCTCTGGAGACTCCAGAGTTCAGGGTTACAGCAAGGGCAGTGAGACATCGTTATGCACTCCTGATCTCCCTGCACAAAATAAAGCAAAGAGAAGAAGAGAAAGCATTTGGGATCGATGTCTCTGATCTCACAGAGCTCAATACCTTGCTGGAGGAAATTTGAGAGCGAGAGAAAAGCGCAGAAGAAAAGAGTGACGCCCTGAGAAATGAGAAGGCAAAAGGTGAGAAAGAAAAAGCTACAGCAGAGGAAATCAGACAAGCGGCTCTTCAGATAATGGCAATTAGAAAGAGCGATGATAGTGGCGAGAAACCGAAAAAAGCTAAATTGAGGAGGAGCACCTTTCATGCAATCGGATTTTTGGCCGAGAAGTCAGAGAAAAATAGAATTGAAAAAGGAAGAGTTAGCCATCAAAAAAAAGAGAGCTTGATCTAGCAGAAACTAGACAAGAGGAGGCTTCCCAGCAGCAACAGACCATGTTCTCAGTACTGATCAACACAATGCAGCAAGAGCAACCGCTTCAACAGCAAAACCTTCAAATTATGCTTGACCAGCAAAACAAGGCATTTATCCTTTTGTTATGACTTTAGTTATCTAAAAAAGCATTGTTGATGGGTTTTATTATATTTCTTTTGTATAGAGAGTACTTTCTACATTGTTTTTTCAAATAGACAGATTTTTGTCAGTACAAAGGGGCCTAAATGCCCAAACTTTCCCCTAATGTGCAGCCACTAAATGCCCAAAATAAATCTAAGAAATAGGTTTTTATAGCTAGGTCTATTCTTTCGTAATGTTTGGTTAGCTGTACCTTTATGTAATTAGTTCATACTATTTCATACCTTTAGTGAGTGCACTCTAAAAATTGAGCCAATTTTAAGCATTATTAAGGCAAAAATCTTCAGAGAAGCATGGGTATCTTCATTCAGTCATGTTAGATTGGGGTAGCTTTCACCCAGGGTTGACTCTCTAAAAATTCATTAAGTCACCCCGGTAAACATCCTGGGTTAGTGCCAGCCCAACCTCCAACAAACAGGCCCTTGGGCTCCTATATTTGTAAAATGTTTGATAAAGGAATTCCCAATAAATGGCCTGACTCTGCAATGTTGTTGCTAGTTTTTTCAAAAATTTCTTTTATTTCTATTTTTAAAACTAATTTAAGTTAATTAACCACAGTTTTCTGAAAAATGGAAAATTAAGTTGGGAAATAAATCAATAGTTACAATAACAGTTTTTGAAAAATAGAAAACTTTAAAAATAAATTGTGCTTAATTTTATTATTATTTATTTTCTCTTTTAAGAAGTGCAATGGTGTGAGAAATAGTTTTCAACTTATCAGCATACAAATATCTGCCATGGTTAACTGCAGTTATAAAGTTTTGATACATATTTTATCAAAGGCAATGTAAACTGGGCAATGATGTGGTTTCCTAGCCAAAGTATGTATCAAGAGTAGGTGGCCTAAGGTCAAAAAATTCTCAGGTCATATTACCATACAAGCATGTCATTGCAATTACGCAGTATGACAAACAACATAGATCTTTCCAACACTTCTGAGGAAAAGCTTCAGATCCTATTTAAAGTCATTAAACTTAAATGAGTTGATTATATCTTCGAACAGCCATTCAACAGAACTTTTAACAGCACTCATCTCTGTATTGTACTGCTGCATTTGTGGTGTCAATACACCATATCCAAAGGGTCCTTGCATCTGCACTCTAAGGGGATAGGCAGGGTCACCGTAAACACAGACTGCAAACCTATGAAGGTCACGTCGTAGATGTGAATCAGCAAGCATTCCTGCACCTTTTTTTTCCTTCTAAAAATAGGTAGGTGATGGTAGGTATCCGTGTAAGAGTAAAGGTTGCTTATAATTGGGTTACATAAGCTGTTGACTATGTGAGTACATCAGAAACTTTTTTCTAATTTCATCTTGAGTTTATAATATTCTTATTTCAAAGGGGGAGGACAGTCCCCTCTTCCCTCTGGCTATGCTCCCAATAAACTGTTGAAGTGATCTCCCCTTGGTAATCATTATTGAATAAAAACATTAAGCAATTTTAGCCTGTCCTATAGCCCTGTAAAATGGTTCATTTTTTCCCAATATTTTCCCTTTTTTAAAATAAGAGCAAGGTCTTCAAAAATAAACATTTGGTGTCATGCATTTATCAGGCCTGCCACCGGTCAAAACGCTGGTCACATCCCTGCTTTAAAACTGGTGGCCTGTACTGTTTTGTAACTTACAAACTGGGCCATGTAGATTTCCGGTCAAGCCACTTGGTAAAGCAATGTTTTGAAATTTCAGGGCATGATCCCTGTTATAGCCATTGTAAAGAAGTCGCTGATGTTCTCCAGGTCTTGATATTGGCCTAATGGTATGGGACTCCCCTGGCTGTCACAGCATCAACATAACTCTGCAGGTTGACAGGGCGAAGGACCTCATGATTCCAGTTTAGTAGTCTGTTCCTGTGAACATTATACACAAGGTCAATCATTTGATTGGTGATCATGATAAGAACTGGAACAGGTTTAGCGAAACTATGGACCATGTCTCCATATCTGCTTGGGTAAGAAAGCCGCTTTAGCAGCATGCAGAGACCTTCTAGTCCATTACAAACAGGGCGCTGACTGCGGGTAATCGTGTCAGGGATTAGCAAAACTTCCTTCAGAATTCGTGTATCTCGTTTTCAAAAGCGAAACTCTATGAAACTCTCAGACTCGTCAAGCTCTTCCAGGTCAAAAGGTGCGTACGAATCGTACAGAAAGTCAAGGTTTTTCGATGCATAGAGGTCGTATAGAACAACAAATTCATCATCATTAATAAAGCCATCATTGTGATTAATTAGAAGCAGATTTCGGACGTTTTTGAATGCCATAGCTAGAGCAACTAGTCAGAGAACCAAAAGTCGTCATCTCCTCAAAACAACACACTGCTTAACTTTTGTTTTTCCCGCCGAGAACGAAAGCCTCGACTAAATCCTTCTTGGGTTACAAACGTTGTTGTCATGTATTTCGTTGTCGATGCTTAAGGTCCCTAATAGTACCATACCGATAACATAGCTCATTAACAAGGTGGGTCCCTGGGGTGGAGCTGTACATCTTGCATGTGAACTCTTGGAGCTTGGCAAATTGTTCATCTGTGATGTTCCACTCCGTACCTTTCTCCTGGAATAAAGTTTCGAAAGAATGGTTTTGTCTAACCATCTTCAAAGCTAATGCCTTGCGCTTTCCAGAGAAAGCACTGATAGTGTCGCAGCCAGTGAAGGCATGGGGACTTGGGAGAGATCTAGTTCGGCGCCCAACATCCGTACAACACTTGACACATCGATGTATGTTGTTAGAGTCTTTTGGCCGCATTTAACAAACACAGAACATGGTATGAAGCCTTTAAAAGCCAAAGAGAGAACAAACACGTCCGTGTCTTCTGACGTAATGACAACGGCTCTTTATCCTGCTTCTGCTGCATGAAATGCGTGGAGTAACATTCTGGCATCAGCTTCCTCTTGAGTCGACCTTAGCTCTTCCCTTGTTGTTGCCTCAGTTGAAATGACTGGTTTCAAAGACTGTCTTTCCAGCAAGGCTCTCTCTGCGTCTGTCATTTTGCCACTCTTCTGATATGAATTTGTTCAAGAGCGATTTATTATTAGCACTGGATAGGAACTTTCGCCATTGATGTATTTTGTGATCTGCCTTGATGTTTCTGAATTTGTGACTGGTTTCTGAGCCTTCCTTTTCTGTCGCGGTAAACATCAAAGACCACGTCAATACACTGGCTGTCTGTTCCTTCATGCAAAACCATTTCCATCAGGCTATCGGCCATTTCAGCAAAGGTCTTCTGGTCGCCCTTTACCTTGTGAACCATTGCCATTCCGTTGAAAACTATTGCGCACGGCTGCAGAATTACGTCTGCTGCAGTTAGATTCCTTTGTGGCTCCTTGGCAAGCAATGCCTTGTTGGTTTTTCTCAGCGATTCATCAGCCGAAGCGAGGGCCCAAGGTAGAGGCCCGAGTGGGTGGTACAACACATCACTCATCTTAAGCTTCCTGTTCTTAGCGATGATAAGGATTTGGGCAAAGTGCCCGATCCACTTTAATTATTGCTTCCTTCCTTGGACTTTCAATTTTTTAGAGAGATCACCAAATGTTTTAAGTTAAAGGTTTGTCATCTTGTCATGGAACTTCACCTTTGGTGGGTCAGATTCGAGCCTGTCTGTACACAACGAATTATAAGCCTTCGCTCCCAAAGCCTCTGGCTGAAGCTGTTTGTTCTCTATCTCAGGGTTAGCAGGGTTTAACAGTCATGCTCCAATCGAAACTAAACGTGTTTGGTCATGCAAGGTACCTTGGATCACATCAGACCCGCGGAAGGGTATGCGTGATCACAATGTTGTTAAACGGAAAGCTATTAAGTGTAACAATCCTCAAGACTGGGCTACGTGCAAAAGGCTACGTAATAGGAAGAAGAAGTCAAATCCGCAAAGGCATCCTAATATGCTAGTGCGTTTATTCAGTCTGATGGCGACTCGCGTAAAACCTGGCAATTGATTAATGAACTCATGTCCTGTCACAAAAATAACGCGTCTATGAAAGAATTAAAACTAAACAAGAACTCAGTAACCAATTCTCACGGGCTTTCCAATGCAGTTAATGATCACTTTTCAACAACTGGAACCAAACTAGCTAATGAGGTACCCCTTGTTACTGACAGTTCAATTTATGGTGATTACATTGTTAGCAGCAACAACAAATTCATTTTCAGTCCAATTATTGGTAGTAATGTCTGTTCTCTTAAATAAATTGTCTAAATCCAAAGCAACAGGTCTCGATAATATTTCTGCCAAACTAGTTCGGGAATGTGCGGGTCTTATTTCGATCCCTGTATGTAACATTTTCAACAACTGTTTAAGTTCTGGTTTGTTTCCAGATGACTGGAAATGCGCTAGAGTGACTCCATTGTTTAAACAAGGTGAGCGAACTGATGTGAATAATTATCGACCTATCTCTGTTATCTCAATAACAGCTAAGGTGTTCGAGAGAATAGTGTATGATCAACTATATAGTTTTTTGGCTAATGAGGAGATAAGCACCAACCAACAATCAGGTTTCCGCTCGTTGCACTCGACTGCCACTGCTCTCTTGGAAGCGACTGACAGCTGGGCTCTCGATATAGATCGCGGTAATGTAAATGCAGTGGTCTTCCTGGACTTAAAAAAAGCATTTGATACCGTTGATCACGATGTTCTTTTAGGTAAACTTAGTCTGTACGGAATACAGGAGTATGGTTACGATTGGTTTAAGTCTTATCTAAATAACCGTACCCAGAAATGTGTAGTCAATGCTTCGCTTTCCTAAGTCTGTTCTCTGGGCTGTGGGGTCCTTGAGGGAACTATCCTTGGACCTCTTCTATTTTTGATCTATATCAATGATTTGCCAAACTGTTTGTCGTTCTGCCAATCTAGGATGTATGCAGACGACACCCACATAACATATGCTCGCGCAGACTTACACTCAATGCAGTCTAGTCTGAATCGTGATTTAAGTAACATCAACGAATGGCTTCTCTGCAACAAACTTACTCTGAATTCAACTAAAACCCGGTCTATGTTAGTTGGTTCTAGACAAAAACTGAGTACATTGTCTGAATCCCTTGAACTTTCAATAAATAATATCCCTATAATGCAAGTTTTAACTACTAAATCACTTGGGATTCTCATTGATAATAACGTGGCATGGCATGGTCATATCGACAAACTATCCATAAAGATTGCCTCCGGCATTGGCGCCATAAAGCGAATTAGACCTTTTGTTTTGCCAGAAATACTACATTACATGTACAATGTCTTGGCACAACCCCATTTCATTGCTGTAGTATTGTCTGGGGTAATTGCGGCAAAACGCTCTCTGAAAAATTACTAAAACTGCAGAATCCTGCTGCTCGCATTTTGACTTCCTCCTCCTATGATGCTGACGCTCACTCGGTTGGAAGACCTGATGACCCAGCCTCAAATTCAAGTAGCTTTAATGGTGTTCAAAGCTCTTAGTGATCTGGCTCCTGACTATTTATCCTTTATGTTTACTGAGCGCAGTACTTCAGGCTATGTCTTAAGGGACTTAAATGTCCCTTTACCAAGAACCAGCTACCTAGAAAGGAGCTTTAGCTATAGAGGTGCAACTCTCTGGAACAGTCTGCCCTGCAATCTTAGGCAAGAAAAATCTCTAAATCGTTTTAAGCAATTGTTAAACTTTCATTTTAGTGAATTAAGTTAGGCACAGGGCATTCATGGAAAACAGGTATTTGTTTAGTGTAATTTTGAGTAGTATTTTTAAGAGACTCTTTAGATATGTATTTATTGTTATTAAATATTGTTATGTAGTTGTACTTTATATGTAACAACAAACCTGATGAATTTTTTACCGTGTTAAAATAAAGATTTGAGATTGAGATTTGAAATGGAGATTAGCGAGCTTACCAGTAGATAGATAGACAAGGTCTTGTTGTTCGCCCTTAAGAGGATTGATACAGCTTCCTTCGAGCATTGACATCGACGATTTCACATATTCTTCGTCTTTCGCTATGTGAGTTCCTTGAAGATTGGTGTGTTGAAAAGTAGTTGAGGTGCCTAGGTCGAGCATATCCTTTAGTTGTCGCATGAATATGCTTCGGTACTCTGCAATGAGATAGTATTTGTGGACGGCTCCTGGCTTCAGGCTGAACCCTTTTGCCCCCCGCTGTCCGCGTGTCTTTATTTATGGTCTCTTTACAGGTTTAATCTACTGGTATTTTACCGAATGGATTCCTGCCCTTGATCTGCACTGTGAAGCCACCAGCCCTGAAATAAGCCAACAGATCCGGATGCTTTTCTTCAAGGTGAAACATTTCAATTAGATTGGAAGATAAATATCTTGCATAAATAACCTTGTCATATACAAAGGACCATGGAATCGTCTTCCTTATTGTAGAAACATGAAGTTCCTAGTTGCCTTCCTTGATGTTCTCAGAAGTCCAAGGAGAATCTCTACCATATCCAGGTATGATAACCAGAACTCGGACAGCTTGCTGTTCTTGTGTTGAGGAACTCTATGTACTGGTAAAACAGTTTAACAAAGTCGACACTAGAAGTGCTGCTGATATGCTCTGGAACTGTCTTTCACAGACATCATATATAACTCGGCAGTCTCACTTAAAAAGTTATTAGCGACTGTCTTGGATTCTCCATGATTCTCCTCTATCCAGGGCCTGAATCCTTGCAGTACCAGCCTCATGAGGGCTTTATACATTGACTATGCTGCGCGAGTTTTCCATCACGCACTACCAGCCTACCTTTTGCAAGAATTAGAACGCGTTTAGAAAAGAGCAATGCGAATCATATGTCCCGGTATAGAATATCAGCAAGCTTTAGCGCTTATGAGTTTACCAACGGTTGCGGAGCATCATCACAACATTTGCACGCGCTCGTTTGAAAGCATAATGAGCGACCCGAACCACAAGCTAAGAAAGTTGTTGCCACCTCCATATAAGAGCAACTATAATCTAAGGCACGCGCGCACTTTCACTTTGCCTCGTTGCAAGACAAATAGATTTAAGAACAGTTTTTTTTATGGCTTTAGGCAGAATTGTAAATAATTTTTAGGTTTCTTATTATACGTTTTTAGTTTTAGCTATTACAATTATTGCTAATTTTTACAATTGTTAGTATAAATTATTATCATTATGTAAATACGCAATTCAGCTTATGCTGCAATGTATTTAATAAAGTACTTATCTATCTATCTATCAATCTATCTATCTGTCTATCTATCTGTCTATCTATCTATCTATCTATCTATCTAACACCACAATTATACCTGCAACCTCCTATAACTCCTGCTACATAGCTGTCTGCCAGCACACCAGATTCGACGCACAGGTCCCTCAACCCAGCATCCTGGAAGCACTTTAGAATAACTGACAACATGATACAAGCCGTGTAGAATACCCCCATCCTTAGCATATCTTAAAATTTCTCACTTTGTTACCACTGGATCTCCATTGCCTTTGCATATAGTGCTTGGTTAAAGACAAGAACGATGCTCTTCAACTTGAGGGGGTTTTTGATCTTGAGCGACTTCACATGAACGGTAGCCATGTCAGTGGCAGGTGTGTCAATAGTCGGTAGATATCCTATGACCTCCTGTGAGACTTGAACCTTGTTACAGACAGAAATATGAAGACCTGCCCAGCTGCTGACTTCTTGCTTCTCTTTAGCTTGGAGTCGTACTAATATCTGAAGCAAATTCTTCTTTCTTGCTTTTGCCAAGATGTGTTCAGATGTTACCTCGGCAAATGCTTGCTCGAGGACCATGGTGGTTGGACAGTTGAACTTATCGAAGGATCAATGCTCCTTACTTTGTCTTGGCTTGCTCAATTCCTGGTGTCTGAGGGAGGATTGGGCCAAAATGCTTGTCTTGGATGCAATCCCATTAACTCGA